TTGTGTGTGTGTGTGTGTGCGCGTGTGTGTGTGTGTGTGTGTGTGTTTATGAACAGAGAGCAGAAGCTGTATCGTGGGGAATGTCCGTGGTCATATCCTCATATGTGTAATAACAGGATCATCTCTGGCGCTTATGATCCGCATCAACCAGATTAGGCTTCAGCGTCGAAATCTGCATTCTGGGAATTACACACACACTCTCACAAACGCACACCGCTCCAACTAGTAATCCTGAGGGAAGCACTCGTTCAGCCTAAATTAGGCTTCCTTCTCTGTCTTCTTTCATTTTTTGCACCATTTCTGTACTCTTTCGCCCTTTTCTTGTTCTGTTCTCCTACAATTTTGAGTGACCATTTGCACCTGGTTTAAATAGAACTGGATGCACAGCATGGCTATTTGCATAATAATAGTCTGCTAGAACGCGAACTATTTAAAAAAAATGTGACTAGAATGCAATGGTATTTTTGCATAGACAACCCAAATTAAATCTAACGTAAAACATTTTTTTTCTTATGTAACTCCTACTTTTCTTTCTCTTTCTAGACATATATGCATATGTAGGCCTATGTATGCACATTGTTTTTTATTTAAAAGAAATGAATACTTTTTTTCAGCAAGAAAACAATAAATTGATTCAACAGTAAAGACATGTATAATATTACAAAAGATTTCTAATTCAAATAAATGCTGTTCTTTTGAACTTCCTATTCATAAAAGGGTACTGAGAAAATGTAGCAAGATTTCTTCAAAAATATTAAGCAGCACAAATGTTTTCAGTATTGATGATGATAAATGTTTCTGAATAATAACAATGATTCATGTGGTGATACTGCTGAAAATTCTGCTTTGCCATCACAGGAATAAATTACATTGAAAATACATGCAAATAAGGAAAATATTTTAAATTGTAATAACATATCATAATAGTACTGTTTATAATGCATTTTAATAAATACATTACAGCTAAAATAAATTGTAGCCTTGGTGCTTCTTGGTGCTCTATTTGGGTGCAAATAATATCTGCTTTGTTTTTTGTCCCCAGCCTTGTATTCTTTTGCCAAAAATGATTTTACTTAATGTTTTTTTAAAACATGTAAACACAGCATTGTGGTATTTCTGTGTGTGTGTGTCAGAAATATCTCAAAAGCTCCTCACACATCTATTCTAGTGAATTGCTGTGCATTTTAATAGACTCTTCTGTGTAAACATCCATAAGACGGGCTAGAAATAAAAGCCTCAGCAGTGGCTCGGGCAGCTGTGCTGTTTATCTAAAAACCAGAGGCCTTTTTTCTGCTATGGCGTCATTCTATCTTTGGTCCTAAAAACACGATCAACCGCACAGCTCCCGGTCTGACATGAGCAGCAGATCTTACCCTGCTTAGAGGAGTCTGGCTGTGAGTCATCAGCACAAGATATTTTCAAGCCATTTTTGCTCGAAATCACTTGGTGGGATGGCAAAGCTGTAGTCAGACAGTCTCACCGAAATTATGATGACACAGTTACTGTTGAGGGAAAAATAAAATATTGATTGCTGCACATTTGACATCGACAACGACTAATACTACACTGTTGGAAAGGTGAAGTCATTCTTTCTGTGTCTATGCTGATGTGTTCATAAAGTGTCTGATTGGACTTGAGTATTCAAGAGATGCTTCTATCCAAAGCAGCTTATGTTATTATTGCAGGGACAAACCACCTAAATCTGGGTGGTTTGAAAAAAACAAAACAGTTCTGTCATCACTTACTTGTTGTTCGATCATATTGTTACGGGTAGGCTCGTCTTTGCTTTGAATGTGTCTATCTGCAGCAGTAGTTGTTGTTAATCTGCAGCTGTTGGCAAAGGTTGTCTCAGTTCAACATTTGAACTTTATGACGAGGCCCCAGTGCATCATCTCTCTTCTGACAGTAGTGAGTAAACAAATTCAGGTGTGTCGTTCTTTGGGTATTTAATCTGCCTCAAATGTGTGCTCTCTCGCGCTCTCTCTCTCTCTCTGTGTGAGTGAGTGTGAGTGAGTGTGAGTGAGTGAGTGTGAGTGAGTGTGAGTGAGTGTGAGAGAGAGTGAGAGAGAGTGAGAGAGTTCCCCTCTGCTGAGTTTGTGGACAGATTTGATCCCTTCAGTCAAGAGTCTGTAAGTTCTGTCATCACTTACTTGTTGTTCGATCATATTGTTACGGGTAGGCTCGTCTTTGCTTTGAATGTGTCTATCTGCAGCAGTAGTTGTTGTTAATCTGCAGCTGTTGGCAAAGGTTGTCTCAGTTCAACATTTGAACTTTATGACGAGGCCCCAGTGCATCATCTCTCTTCTGACAGTAGTGAGTAAACAAATTCAGGTGTGTCGTTCTTTGGGTATTTAATCTGCCTCAAATGTGTGCTCTCTCGCGCTCTCTCTCTCTCTCTGTGTGAGTGAGTGTGAGTGAGTGTGAGTGAGTGAGTGTGAGTGAGTGTGAGTGAGTGAGTGTGAGTGAGTGTGAGTGAGTGAGTGTGAGTGAGTGTGAGTGAGTGAGTGTGAGTGAGTGTGAGTGAGTGTGTGTGTGTGAGTGAGAGTGTGTGAGTGTGAGTGAGTGTGAGTGAGTGTGAGTGAGTGTGAGTGAGTGTGAGTGAGTGTGAGAGAGAGTGAGAGAGAGTTCCCCTCTGCTGAGTTTGTGGACAGATTTGATCCCTTCAGTCAAGAGTCTGTAGCATTAGTCGTGCTACAGGGGTGAATCTCACAAAACCCATCAGCAAGACCAAGTCTGGGTCATATTTCACCTAAAAAAAAATATATGTATGTGTGTGTGTATATATATTGTTTTGAGAAAAGAAAATTAAGCCTGTTTTATAACTTTGACATTAGGTTTTTTATTTATGTATTTACTTTATGTATTTTTATGCATTGTCAATTTGAAATATATAATTGAAAATCTTCAAATTTGCCCTTACAATATGTTATTGGGATGATTTAAATTCTCATTGAATCACCCCTTTGAGAAAGTATCACTATTGTAAAGAATATATACATTAATACAAAAAAGATACATTACTGTAAAGTTTTAGGTTGGTAAGGCTTTTTTTTTTTTTTTATAAATCACATGATCTTTCAGAAATCATCATAATGTGCTGATTTGGTGCTCAGGAAACATTTCTGACCAATGCTGAAAGCATTTCTGTTTCATAATATTTTTGTGGAAACCAAAAAAGCCTTTATTTGAAAATTTTTTCATATTATACAATTACAATTACAATTTAAAGCTTTTTCGTAAAACGTCTTACCATTAATTTATGAACAGTAATGCACATTATTTTATTTGTAAATTAGATGTATATTATTGAATTATTTAGATTTGTTCATATTTATGGTATATAAGTATCATTGTAGTATTTGTCTACTGAATATTATTAAACTTTCATTATGCAGAACATTTTTACAGGAATGATACTCACTTTAGAAAATAATAACTGGAATTGCACCAAGTCTGAACATGCTATGCCAAAAGATTTTTGAAGAAAAATAAATCTTAATGGTCCTGAATAGGCTACATTTTCATTATGTAATTGTTGTAATTATGTAAGTATAATTGTTTTTTCACACTGAATCAAAATAATAAAAACCGCCTCTGACACGTTTTTGTGTGATTCACCCACACAGTTTTTTTTGTTTTTTTTTATTCCCTAGAGCTGACTTGATTCTTTTTGTCCACCTGTGTGCTTTGCTTTGTCTCCCTTGTGGTTCATAATGTATTTCTCTCCTCTGTATGTCTCTTTCTCTTAGGTTTTTAAGGTGAAGGCTGTCCAGCTGGCAGAAAAGCTGCTTCCTGCCTTCAACACCCCAACAGGCATCCCTTGGGCCATGGTCAATTTGAAGAGGTATGTTACATACACACCTTCCCTTTCACGCTTTCGTCCTTTCATTTTTTTTTTTTCCAAGCTGTCTGTCCTCCCCTCATTGTCCTGATGGGGGCTGCCACATAATGGAAGGCTGTTAGACCTTGTGCGTCTACGAAAATCCCTGTGGCTTTCTTCCTGTTTAACTCGACTTTCCACATAATTTCATTAGAATGAAATGAAAATTGCACAATTAATCTGCAGAGCGCATTGTGAATGTGCATTAAGGGTTTTTTGTGTTTGAGGAGGGAGGAGGGTCAAATCCAGCTTGACACGGCTTTGTGAATTAATTGGGTGTTTAGAAGAAATTGCTCGGGTACAGACGAGACCACCGCATTTTGGGTGTCTTTAATCCTGAGGGGAAAGAACAACGCTGTGTTTTATTAATCCCCATTCATGTAGAGCAGCCTTTCACAGTCTACACACACACACTGTGGATACATTCTGCATGGAAATGAGAAGTACAAGTAGAGCACAGGATATTGGGCTTGACGGAAGGAATGATGGGCGGCAGTGAATCCGTTTGGAGCGGGAATGAAGCTGTTTGACTTAAATGAGCTCGCAGTAATTCTTTATTGTCTACACGCTGCAAATGTATGAAGGTGGATGTATGCTTTAGGCTAGTAAGGAACATACTATACGTAAATCTCATGGGTGTTTCCTTCGGTCTGTTTCAGTGGAGTGGGGCGTAACTGGGGCTGGGCATCAGCTGGAAGCAGTATTCTGGCTGAGTTTGGGACGCTGCACATGGAGTTTGTGCACCTGACGTATCTGACTGGAAACCCTGCTTACTATCAGAAGGTACGCTTGGGTGTATGAGTGTTTTGTAACTGTGTTGGCCCTTGTGTTTGTGTCCTGTTGTGAACTCTGTTTGTGTTCTGATTTAGGTGATGCACATACGGAAGCTGCTGGCTAAGATGGACAGACCCAATGGGCTTTACCCCAACTACCTGAACCCACGCACAGGACGCTGGGGCCAGCGTGAGTGCCTCCCACTAACATCCTCTGTGCTGCACAAGCAACTCTCACTTTCCACTTCACCACAAAAGGCGTTTTGTGAATTCTCGCACTGTATGAAATAAAGAGCGTTATAGACACCCACAGCATGATCTTGATGCTGTGGTAGATTTAAAAAAAAAGATTGCACACACAACAGTTGGGTAAAATTATGCTTTATAAGTAGATGGAAGAATTTGCAATTAGTGTTTCATAGCACTGAATAAAATAGATTTTTCTCTGGACTCTGTCCACTATCTTAGATTAATTTTGTTTCCATAAACGTTTTTTTTTCTGGGACTACTTTATCCATGAATGATACATGAAATGATGCCTTAGGTTTGGCTCGAAACAACAAATGTAGATGGTTTTGCTGCGTATTGTTTGGAAAAGCCTTTTGAGTCATGAGCATGCAAGTGAAGGTCAAGATTGCTGATATAATAGACTTAAAGTATATCCAATATATATTTTTCTGTTGTTTTAGTCAGGTTCAATTTTTACTTACTATGCCAAAATTAAATTTATTATATTATACATTTTTTATTATATTTTATTTACTGTCTGGCAACATTTTGCGTGAAGTGTTATTATTTTAATAAATAGTTTATAATTTATTAAATAAATTATATTGAATTTATAATTTAGCAGTAATTTCTGTAAATCCATTACAGCCATTTAAAATAGAAAAATTATTTTAGTTCTCAAGAAACATTTGGTATCATAAATGTTGAAAATAGTTGTGCTGCTTAAGTGTTTTTGTGGAAACCATGATGCACTTTTTCAGGATTTTTTGATGAATAGAAAGTTTGAAAGAACAGCATTTATTTGAGGGGAAAACTGACCACAAACTTGAAAGATATTGTATATCATTAACAAATGTAACGTAGTTACAACGAGCTAATCTGAAACTCACTCACTCGGCTCAGCAGACCTTTCTCATTTCTGAGCCCTGTTTTGTTATTCGTATTGCTGCAATAATCATAAGAGATTCAGATCAAATTGAGGATCCAAAATACCACTCTGTGAAGCCTGTTTATAGACACGGATGATTTTCATAATCCCTCTACCAGGATTTATTATTCTATAAATGTGAATGACGACAATGACAGCTTAACCTCATCTCCCTGATCAACGAGCTTTAATAAAGATGGGATGTGAGGAAGTTTCTTTCTTTATGTATAATTAGTAATTATCTGTAGTGAAAACACTCCACTGTGTTTTAACCAACTCTTAATTACTGAGAGAGATGAGGGTTTAATTAGTGCCCTGCATCTAAAGGCTAAACCTGATCAACCCACTCGAAGCAAACACACACACACACACACACACACACACACATACACACAAAGACTAAATTCCAGTAAAGTCTGATGGTGTATGTGTGTCCAAAGGGGTAAAATGTAATTAAGGTGCACTAGAGATCTATTTTCTAAATGAAAACTCGGCGTGAATGACAGGCCATTACAGCAGAGTATTATTCCCTCTCCCACACTGCATCTGCCCTGTGGACCCTTAAAGGGACAGGTCCAAAAAATAATGTTCTCTCATAATTTATTCTCCCTCATTTCATTTCAAATGGCCTTCTGTCCTGTGTGTAACGCAAAAGAAGTTTTTCGATAGAGTTCATGTGAATGGGGATTGTGTATCACAAGCAGCTTGGACATTGTGCTAAACATCTCCTATGGTGTTCCATGCAAGTTGAATGGGGGATTAAATGATGATAGAACATTTATTTTTGTGTGAACTACCCCTTTAAAGTTCTCTCTCCACGTCTCTATTGCATCACCTCCAGGGGCCTTTAGATTTTAGATCCACATCTCCTCCTCAGCCCGTCATTCTCTATCCATGACCTGTCCGCTTGCTGTCGGCCAAGCCTCTCTGTAGAGATTTCCTGCCTGGATCTTTGATTGTTACTCAAATCCACCCTGTTGTTTTTTTATATTCAAAGACTTTGAGTGCATTTACTTTTCAGCGGGAGGCCATTAGGGAGTTGTTTTTTGATTGGCAGAAGTGAAAATCCAGACGTTCGATGACTGGCAGCCGTGCCAGAAGAGGTTGTGAAATAAAGGCCCAGACGGTTTATGGGAGTCTGACTGGGATTTTTGAGAGTTTATGAGTCTGAAACGTCTCTGCTTCAATCAATCTTTCCACTGCCTTTGTCTCACTGCACACCAGCCTGCACCATCTATGTATTATTCATCATCTTAATCACTGATGATGTTTATTTTATTATATTTATTATGATTCTACCACCTTTCTTTCTGTGCTGCTCGCACACATTCGCCTCTTTCGCTGTACCTTTTTTCTCCATTCCTTTCGCTGTCTCTGAGCAGCTTGTTTTCCTCTCTGTTGTTTTCAACCTGTCAAGATTCTCACACTGTCAAGATCCACACATTCTCTCTGAACTATTTCTTCTTATATGTTTTTCTAGCTCTATCCATATTTAGTTATTAGTATTACGTGCAAAGCCAAGAATCACTTAAATCTTAACCTAACTCATCCTGCTCTGTTTGTCCTTGGGGCATAAATGATACATGTCTATGACATGCTGAGGAAAAGTGTAATATTGCTTTCAAGCAATCTTTGCCTAGAATGACAGAAAAACTCAAGTTTTAATTTATGGAGCCATCTGAGCCATATCTGGGGACAAGAATATCATAGAGACCTGGGCTCTTTTGAATTGGCACTGTAAGCAATTCCTTGGCAACCACATGGCAACATTTTGGGAATTACCTGCACCATTGCTTTTGCACTGATAATTTCTGCAGAAAATGTACACAATTTTTGCCTCTATATTCCAAAATGCCCCGCCTCTTGCAGCAGGACGGACTAGTAAGAGTTACTTACAAGTGGCCTGTTATTGGACGTCTCAGTCTCTCTCTCACATTCTATTCATTTTTTTTCCCCCACCTCTCTTTTTTTCCCCCTTTTCTGTTGAATAATTCATCTCCGCTTCTACGTCTTGCCTCTACCAGGTCAGTCCCTCGCATCCATTAGCATAAAATACATTTTACTTTGTCTCAGTGTCTCTGTAAAGGATCTCTCATAAAGTGCTTCAGCCTCCTGCCTCGTTGCTGCCTCATTGATTTCTTTAGTTCTCACTCTGATTTTTAAACTAGCTTTTGCAGATGCAATTTTTAGCCGTGTCACTTGCGTGTTCACACCTATCTCATGTAAAACATCACCTCTGAATCTGTACTCCACCCCCAATCTCCTCTAAAGACCTTCCATAAAGGCTTTTGACAGTTTATCTCCTGAACATTTGCCCTGCTAGCTCTCTCTCAGCAGGCTGAATGCTGTACAGCTCGCTAACCGTGGCAGATATGAGCTGTGACAGTGCTAATGGACTCCTCCCTCGCTCCTCTATGATACTATATACAGCAAGTGTACAGTATACACTCCTCTGCCTCCCACACACTTCACACTTCCTGTTCTCATTTGGAGATTGTGTGTCCTGTCTGTTTCCCAAATGGGTTAACAAGCTTCCTTGTTAATCTTGACACTCAGAGAGAGAATGTATGGATAGATGGACAGACAGATAAACACAGACATAGATATAAGCATACAGATAGTTAGATAGAAACATAGACAGACAGACATGGATGGATGGATGGATGGATAGACAGACAGAAATACAGATAAACAAGATATTAGACTGACAAACCAATGGATGGATGGTTACAGACAGATGGATATTAGACGGACAGACAGACAAACAGATAGATAGACAGATGGATAGACCGATATAGACATACAGAAAGATGGATATTACAGACAGACAAACAGACCGATAGAGCGACACAGACTAGATAGATTGATAGACAGACAGACTTAGACAGAATGAATATTGACATACAGGTAAACAAGATATTAGACATTAAAGACAGATAATATAGATACAAAGACAAGTTGATGGATGGATGGATGGACATACAGACATACAAACGTCGTAGGTAAACCTACATAGAATATAACACAGACGGACAGATAGGCAGACATGGATATAGACAGATAGATTGGCTGGAAGGATGGACAGACATACAGATGCTATGGACAGAAAGATATAGATATATAACATGACTGAATGGATAGATAGAAAGACAGACGGTCAAAGAAACAGATAGGTTAATAAACTCAAACTCTTGATTGAGACCTCATTGATATCAGCTAATCACGAGGCCATGGCTCTAACCTAGTGCCTCTTTTTTAATATTCTCTGTTTCTGTCCATGTTCAATATCTTCAATATTTCATTCTTCATTTCTACAGCTCCCTCCGACAAGTCAACACAGATTGTTTACATGTTCTGTTGTAGGTTGCCATTACGAGCCATTACCGGCACAAATGACTCCCAGCCTGTCAAACACTCACACTTTACACACACTCACTCTGCAGAGTCATTAGCTGTGTCAAAGTGGAACACACACTCGATGGCTGTGTTTATAAGTGATTAGGTGTGTGCTGGTGTGTGTCCACGCTGAATAAACGCCAGCGAAAACATGCTCACTTGTGCATTTTTATTGTAATGAGGGTCGGTGTCAAGCCTGAATATACTTTTATGGCAGCATTCAGGCACATTAAAAGACTGAGATATGAATGGAGTAATCAAAAGAATCATAGCAGGCTTTTCTTTGCTCCAGTTGAATGAATGCATGTTCACAAAGTTTGGAATTTAGAGGCATCTAATTGGGCTAGTTTTGTCATTTTGAAGTATTAAACTCACTTTACTCTAAGTTTAATAACTATTAGAGGTTGTTTTTTGTCCTTACCATCAGCAACAGACATTTATTAAGCTTATACTTGTGTCTCTCTCTTGCTCTGCAGATCACACCTCAGTAGGTGGGTTGGGTGATAGTTTCTATGAGTACCTGTTGAAGGCCTGGCTGATGTCTGATAAAACGGACACAGAGGCACGCAAGACGTACGATGATGCCATCGAGGTGAGGGCTGCAGGTTACAAATGGCAATTTTTGTGTTTCGTGCTGCATCAGTTCATTCTCTCTTTCTTTCTCTTCCTACAGGCTATCGAGCGCCACCTCATCCGTAAGTCCAACGGTGGCCTTACTTTCATCGGGGAGTGGAAAAACGGCCACTTGGAGCGTAAGATGGGTCACCTGACTTGCTTTGCTGGGGGCATGTTTGCCTTGGGGGCTGATGGGTCGCCAGATGATAAAGCTGGACACTATCTGCAGCTCGGAGCAGAGATTGCACACACCTGCCACGAAAGCTACGATCGCACTGGTTAGTGAATATGTGAGGGGGCAAGAGAGAGATGAAGGGTATAAAAAAATGCATGAGATCTTTGGACTTCAAATCTAATTTGTAGCATGGTGTGTTGCCATGGTAACACTACAGGTTATTTTTAGAGTATGGCATTTCTATTTCACACAACTTGACTGAAAGACATTGATGGATTGCAGCTTAGCCACAACAGGCTCTCAGACAGATAGTTTCACGTTTATAGCACCATGAGAGCCGAAGGTTCAACTAATAGTACTGAACGCATAAACCTTTTATTGTTTGCAGTGCTGAAGCTCGGCCCAGAGGCCTTTAAGTTCGACAGTGGGCTGGAAGCAGTGGCTGTGAGACAGAATGAGAAATACTATATCCTGAGGCCTGAGGTCATCGAGACGTACTGGTACATGTGGAGATTTACCCACGACCCCAAATACAGGCAGTGGGGTTGGGAAGCAGTGCAGGTCAGCATCTCTTTCCAGTGATAAAGATATATGGTATACACACACACACACACATAAAATATATATATGTATATACATGTGTGTGTATGCAATGCAAATGTTTATTAATTTGGCTTTTTTACTGTAATATGTAACAAATCACTGTAGTGATTCAAATTAAGATGCTTAGCTGGAAAATCTATTTTTACTGGATGTTGAATATTGTATAAATATTAAGTTCATTAAATATCCCAGGAAAAGAGTGCCTACAACTAAATATTGGATATTAATTTTGGAAACTGCTTTCTGAAATTTTAGTTTACTGGCAATTGAAAGGAATAGCGCTAGATCATGACAGTGATTTAATTCTTTAAGATGACTATTTTTTTTAAACTGCGCTTTCCTGTAATGTCTCATCTCTATTTTAGGGACTTTCTCACGTCAACCTTTAAAATAAATGGTCATCCATATTTCATACTCTGCATTTCTAATATTAGAATGCCTGTATTCAATAAGTACTGGATAATAACTGGATTGCAATGTTTTATTTTCATTCATTTTTTTACAAAATAAACTAAATTTTTAAAGTCTGCCATTTATTGGTTAACAACCATAACATGACAAAAATAATCACCTTATTTTGTCAGCCAGATTTTTAATATCACTGTCATTCAATAAGAGAACACAAATCCAAAATTCTGTCATGAAGCTCCAATGCAGTCCAATAGGTGTAACTCAATCTGACATAATGACATCATCGTATGGTGCAGCTGATTGGTTCTTTTTATATCCGCAGCCAATGAACTTGCTGCTCAACATTCAAATACTTGGCTAGTGCTTGCTGTAGCAGTTGCAGCACGCTTCATTAACCCTCCACCTTCCCCAGCTCCACCTGTATAAATCTGCTACGCGGTGATTCATGTATGCTATATATGGGGGTTATTTCATATGTGTTATATGTGCAGCAGTAGTACTTGTTACATGCTCACAGCAGCATGTTGTGGATGTATTGGCCGCAGCAGCAGCATAGCAGATCTATTCTAAGACCAAACACATGAACATTAACATGTACATTACCATGCCAAACCCTCTGAGAGTTGTCATGATAGAACTTTTTTGTTGCCTTTGCAAAGATCACCAGCACAAAGCTAGGGCACGAGCAACACAAACAGAAGTTTAACTCACTTCTCACAGGGCTGGTATCTCCAGCCATCAGAGTTCAGCCAGATATCAGAGACAGAATAAGGTCAGACGGTGTATACGGCACAGGATGTTCTTAGTATCTAAACCCGTATCTCATCACTTTGATATCCATCTGTAGTCCCAGTCGATCTATCGGTGGCATCTTTTTGATACTCGTAGTAGTCCTGTACCTCTTTATCCGTATCTGTTTATCACTCTGTTTTTTTGATTTATCCTTCCCTTTCTTATCATGTCAGTCTTATTCCGGCCAGACCTGGACTGTGTTTTTTAGGGAATGTGTTTGTGTTTCTAGAACAGTTTCAAAGTGCTCTTGAGAATGGAGCGTCATTGTTTTGTCTCTGATTGGGTGTCATTGTTCTGCCGGTACAGTACTGTTTCACTGCAGTTGCAGCTTCTTTTGATGAGCCGCTGGGTGCCTGGGCTCTTTCTCTCCTTCCCTCCCTCATTTTCACTCTTCCCATTTCTGTAGAAAGAGAACAGAATAAAGCTCACTTGTTCCCAGTCACAGAAGTTCTTTCGTTGCTATCAGCTCTTTTTTCCTTTTTGTCTAATTTTATCATTTTCTGTCTCCAGCTCTCTCTGTGCACCTCTTTCTTTCCAGAATCTCAGGGTCTCACCGTCTCTTCTCTTTGCGTTCCTATCGCTGTTCTTTGTGTAGATAAATGGTATTGTTTATGTTTGGTGTGCACTCTCATCTGCAGGATTAGTTAAGATTTTCTCACCAGTTCTACCATATCTCATGTGAAGTAAGATGGTCAGTTGAAGGTGAATGGCTTCAGTTGGATTTTTGCTGCTATATAACTGCTATAGCGTGCACAGATATGTTGTTTTATGGCGGGAAATAATGTAATTATGTCTAGGAATTATATAAAAATTCATGCAGAATTAGCTTATAACCAGTAAATGGCTGATATAAATTGGGGGGGCGGGGGGGCATATGCCAGTGTCGTCATTTTATCAATTTGATTGAAAGTTTTAACTTTTTTTCTTTTCTTTAATTGTTTACATTTGTTTAGTTGACTTTTGAAGTTTGGGCATCTATGGTTTATATAAAAAACAATAAAACCCTAAAAAAACTAAAGTCTGTTGTTTTAAATGCTACGAGTAAATTTAGGCATCATAACATTAGAAGGTGCAGTATGGGAAAAATGGAAATTCATTTTGAGATTTGATAAAGATTATACTCAATAGTGTGGTTAAATCATTGTTTTTAAAGATGTTTGATGATCCAAAGGCAATCTAAATGGAAAATAGAGGAAATGAAGCTGCAAGTCTTGAGTGAATCTCTGTTGAATGGTTTAATAGGAGGCTGGATCAGGCCAGCTGCTGTTGCGTTATAACCGTGTGAGGTGAGTCCTCAGTGTAGCAGCTGTTTCAGGCAGATCTGCTCCGGGTAGGTGAGCACATCATGCCATGTTTTCCTGGCACGGATGGCTTGCATCACTCCTGCCTGCAGAGGCTGGAACAGCACTAATGGAGCATTATTTGTTCCTGGAGAACAGGGCCGGAAAAATAGAGCGGCTTCGTATATATTCTATTTTTGGCTTGTCATTACTGCGAGTACACAGTTATGCATTGATTTGATTTGCAGTCATAAAGTGGTGATTAGGACAGGGTTTTACTTGATATAGCACATACTGTATAGGCAATCTCTCTGAGCTAAAGCACGGGAAATGGTACATCTGGAACTGAGCTAGCCTGAGTTACTCACCAGTTGGATGGAAACTTTATTAGAAACTGCAGGACATTACATGGTTTAATCAAATTTAAGAACAATAGTCTGGCCCTCGCTGTTGTAAGATATGTGCATAATTCAAATCAAAGACATAGTCATGACTCAAGCATCTTTTAACAACCTTTACCATCAAAAGTTCATCTAAGGTGCCGGGATCATCATCTTTCACCTTCACCATTTTTCACAAAGTCAATTCAGTTGTGAAAGTAAATCAAAATTCAGAAAAATTAAACAATGAATTAGCTGTCATGGGGACAAATATAATATTATATATACTCCACTGTTCAAAGGTTTGGGGTTGGCATGTTTTTTTTTAAAAATATACAGTAAAAACAGTAATATTATAAAAAATTTAAATAACAGTTTTCTCTTTGAATATGTTTTAAAATGTAATTTATTTCTGTGATGAAAAGCTGAATTTTCAGCATCATTACGCCAGTCTTCAGTGTCACATGATCATTCAGAAATCATTCTAATACGCTGATTTGCTGCTAAAGAAACATTTCTAATTATTATCAGTGCTGAAAACAGTTGTGCTGCTTAATATATTTTATGCATCGTTGCTGAATAAGTATTCATTTCTTAAAAAAATTATTTAAAAAAGCTCTTACTGACCCCAGACTTTCTCCACATTTTCTGCAGGCTATAGATAAATACTGCCGAGTAAGCGGAGGATTCTCTGGTGTTAAAGATGTCTACTCCTCCAACCCCACCTACGATGACGTCCAGCAAAGCTTCTTCCTGGCTGAAACGCTCAAGTAAATATCATTTCATTTAACAATACAATGCTGAAGCTGAGTTGCAATAGTAGCACAAACTGTTTTAGTTCATTGAGCAAGTACATGTTATTATTTTCTGTTAATGTAATAATGGTCAAGGTAACTATGCAGCATAAAGCTAGCACTGTGAAAAGCAGTGACTATTAGCTAAACAAAGTGGGATTTGCAAAGGAAATAGGAGTGGAAAGACAGCCGGTCATTACTGCCACCTGCTGGTGTCATTGAAACACTGCAGTTTCCCATTGCCAAATGTGTTTGAATCGGATCCGTGACCCAGTTTGCTATAAACATCAAGTTAATTGTATGATCCTTATTTGTGTGTTTCTGTAGGTATCTCTATCTACTTTTCTCCAGCGATGAGCTGCTGCCTCTTGAGAACTGGGTGTTCAACACAGAGGCCCATCCTCTGCCCGTCCTGCACCAGGGCAACATCACCCTGCCTGGCAGCGAGACCCAGCGGTAGAGCGGACTCACCGGGAGGGCGCTCGCCCCTTTTCTAAACGCCTCCCTCCTTGTGAGAAAGACAGCAGCTGCCAGTGCAAAGGAGAGGAGAGAACTGTACCCACCATCCACTGTCTCCTCCTGGACTGTGAATCATGGGACTGCAGTGAACGGAGGGGACCGGAACAGACCCAACTCTCTTTATCTATGTCTCTCTCATATATTCTCTGAAGGACAGACTGCCGGATCGATCATGTGTGTCTCTCTCTTGTGGTCGCTGGTCTGACACGTCCGTGTACACGGTTACACGCATTGACAGACTAAAAGACCTTCTGATATGGATGTGCGTTTCACACTGGGAAAGGATTTTAACAAGTTCATTCGTCCCCCCCCCCTTTCTCGCTCTCTAATTTGGTGGCATTTCATATCATCAGTTCAGCACTAAATCAAAATGATGGATAAATGGTTTTTGGACCAGACCGCCTTCAGAGCCTTTCACTCTCTGAGCTGGGCTTCTGGAGATGGCAGATGTTGGATGTGACCTCCTGTGAAATCTTTCTCCAGCTGAGGCTAAATTTAGGCCAGAGGCACCAGGAATGTTCTTTTCTCCTAGATTTCTCTTCAGTCTCTCCGATGTCTCTTTGTTAAGGTTAGCGGGTAAAAAGGGACACATGCTGCTATCGAACAGCTGCTGCCTGTGACACAGTCACCACCGTCATTCCAGAAACCTTCGCTTTCTGCGTCTTTCCATTCCTATCTTTTTTTCCATCCATTGTGAATGCCCAGAATGTCATTCATACTGCATTCTGGATGGGCTGGTGTTTGGTTTTGCATCACAATGAATCAACACTTGAAGTAACTGTAACTTGTGGAGAGAAGTCACAGTGCTTGTAGATGCTAATGCTCACGGCAGTCAACATTTGTTTTCATTTGTCGATGGTGCCGCTCTGTTAGACCAGACCAGATTCTTTCAACAGCCATGATTTACCACTAATCGTAGCCAACGAGGTAGAGATTTATATACATGGGGTTAAGACTTCATAAATACACTGTGTGCCCTTTACAAGAAACCCAGAGTAAATAAAACACAAAAACAAGTGCAAGGATTTTAAATAGCATTGCATAACAACTAAGCCCATGATGTAAGATGTTCGGAATACTCCTGAATGCTTTTTTGTCATTTCAGTTTCTAGATGTGTTTTCATTAGTCAAATGCATATCTCTGAATATTTCATGTGAGTTTTAACATGACTTATTCAGTCCTGGGCTGTAAACACCCTGAACATGTTTTCTGAAACACGGTGGTGGCAGACAGATTTCTGAGATCAGATGATTAAACACAACCTGCAGCCAATCATATTGAAGTATTTTGTTTGTCTTTATTATTATTTTTTTGGGGGGTTGAATTTACCTTTAATGAATATTGATTAAGTCTCTTTGGAAGATGTGCTCAGCCTTATGCTCTCAGACTCAAGTTTGTTTTTTGTTTTTTTAATCTTCAAGTGTGTAAAATGGTACAGCCACGGAAGATTTCATGTAGTCGACCAGGAAAGGAAAAGCGAATTATTTTCTCATCTTGGATAATGAAGAAACTGTGAGAATCAGTCTGTCAAAAAGACTCGAGCACCATTGATGGGATGCTGGGGGCCATCGATCAGCTCCCATTAAGGGTCTTTCACTTTATATCCTGTCATTTCAGTTCCTCTGTTTCTGAAGATCTCATCCGAGTGTGAGGGAGATGTGTCCTCTCCTCCCCTCTAGATGGCAGCAGTGGTGTCATTTCTTTTCTTTTCTCCCAGTATCATGACTTTGACTTAATGGTGAGTGAAGCCCAGGCCAACACTCTTCACTGTTGTTGCTGGGTGGGTTTTGACAAAGCTGTGTTCTGTATCTGTATTTTTACTGAACAAAAAAACAATAATTGTAAATATGTTTAAAATGCCACATAAATTCAATAAAGATGTTACAAAAAGTGAACGGGATAAAACAAAACAAGCTTTCATTGTCAGGTCGTTTCTTACTAATTCATACAAAAGACTTGCAGCGGATTTCATAGTTCACTTTAATAGTTCCCCCCAGTTATGGAAAACCTACAGATATCAGGGAATCTGAAATTTGGAATGTCAAGATATTAACATTTTTTAGAAAGAGCCATAAAAGCCCTTCTTACTTTAAAACTTTACTTGAATGCTAAAAAAAAAATAAAGCAGCAGCAAAACTTTTTTCAACATTGATAAATGTTTCTTTAGCAGCAAATCAGCATATTAGAATGATTTCTGAATGATCATGTGACACTGAAGACTGTCGTCGAAGACAGTAGTGATGCTGAAAATGTGCCATTGCAGGAATAAATTACATTTTAAAATACATTCACTTAAATATTTTTTTTAGTATTAGAAGTAATATTTCCCAATATTACTGTTTATACTGCATTTTGTTAAATAAATGCAGACTTGGAGAGCATAAGAGACTTACAGTCTCACATACAGCTTATTATATTAAATGGTATATTGATGTTTGGCTTAAGGAAATACACTAATGTGATCTCTTAAAATACATATTTTTAAATCTTTATCCATAATCATGAATGAGTGGAAACATCCTGGAAAGTCACTGGTCTAAAGCGTTGGTGACCTTGTGCGTTTGTTCTTAACACAGCCTATACTGTACATAGATGGAATCTAGTTACAGCATGGACATTTCAATTATTTCTGCAATAATATTAATGATAGAGGCTTTATCTGTTTGTTTTAAGGCCATCATGCTGCTTTGATCTTGGCAGCACACATTGATATATTATAGGTCATGGTGAACTGGTCCTGGCACATTACCCCTGTTCTCAGTATTCACGTCAGTATTCAGTATTTCACACATGTGAGCTTGTTGTTATTCTCTCTCTTTAGCAGCAGCAGATTTGAGGGCAAAAAATGAGGGATATCTTTTTTTTTTCTTTTTTTTTAAGCTGTCCTCTGTCATTGCGCTGTCTGGACTGACAGGACAGAATGGATGGCAAAATCTGGAGGCAGAGGTCATAAGCTGGGTGTCATTTGCCCTCTTTCAACAACCCTATAGTGACACAATGTGACCTCTGCCGTATCAGATGCTGAACAGTGAAGGATTTCTCCTTCCACGCCTACAGTTGTGTCCAAAACTCTGAGACCACTAGTGGAAATCCTTGTATTTTACTTGTAAAATTTAATGCAAAAAAGTTTTTGAGTTTGCATGAACTTCACAAGTGCAAACCCTGATGATCATGTTCTCCAGCATGATATGAGAATGATCCAAAGAGTAACTTGTGCTTCAGCAGAAGCAAGAACAAATGTTGAATCTTATGTACAGATTGGGTTTCATCATGTCTAGTTTAGGGTCAACTTAGGCTACAGAGTCAACTGCTGCTCAGTGGAAAGCAGTGAGCGATAAGCTGGAGAAACTGGCATGTTGCAAGTGTGTGGAGCAAAAAAAAGCACCAAGGTCACTGTGAACCAGGTAGGTCAGTTGGCAGCTTCTACTAATGATGGCCAAACGATTACACGCGCACACAGAGAGAGAGAGAGGGTGTACTGAGAGCTCCAGTGGCTCATGAGAGATTTGATTTTCAGAAGAGCATATGGAGCACTAGTTATTTTAAGCATCTGCATGTCATATTTCTAACTTAAAATATAACTTTCAAAATCATTCTGATAATACACTGACTTCTAGTAGGGCCAATGGGTTCTGTTTCGTTCCTACACTCCCCGTCTGTTTTGCGAGTATACTTCAGTTAAGTGAGCAGGACCAAAAGTCGATCCAAATTCATAAGAATACACAAAACTGCAATCAGTTGCTTTAATATGCCGTACTCTTACCTTTACATACCCCTTACTGAAACTTTTTTTTTGAAGAAGAAGAAAAACAGAAACTGTCATTGGTACATCATCCTGTTGGTTAGTTGCATACTTCTGTGTCTGCCTGCTGAAGTGGCTGCTTGTGTTTTTCAGGTCTGCAAAACGGAACTGTGAAAACAAATGATCTTATTTCTTCAAGCAAATACAGCGCTGCTCCAAGCTGTCCAACTGAATGGGATGCTATGTTGCATGTCATTTAGTATCTTTACAAATATTTTCTCCTCTGGATGTGTTGTGTTTCTGTTGTATAAAACACATTTTAAAACTCAAATTACAACATGGTCACAGCCATTTAGTTATCATATGTGCCAATATTATTTTTGAATGATGAGCTACCTAAGATGATGTTGGTTATTATGCCTGATCTGACCTTTTTGGTATAAAGCTCATCAGTCTTAAAGTGTATTGTGTGTGATAGTACTAAACTGGATTTGCTTCAGCATCCAGTTTTAAATTGGAAAGGTGCGACCCAACATAGTACCAAAATTTGGTGCAACATTTAATTTAATGAAAATGGTAAATTATATAATATTTGCAAAAGTATAATAATGTGTTGGATTATTAAATTCACAATACCATTAAGTTTTTGTGGAGTTGCACCACGTGATACTGTATTTACAACCGGAAATAATCTTGTCTTGTCATAATGTCAAATTTTCAGATCATTTAAGTGATTAACCTTGACACAGTTATGATGGTCTATGGGGGTTCTCGCTGTGATATCACTTCCTGTTTTGTGTGTTTTGTTTCCAAGCCACATGGCTTTGGATTGGTGGATAAACCAAAGAGTTAACAGTTTTATTAAATTTATATTTTCAAAGAAATTATAAAGATAATTTTTACAGGAATTTTATTAATCTTATTAATTGCATTTTAATATATTTTTGATTTAATATAATTTATTTTTGAACACTTAAAAATGAATGCCATGTCATTGCACCATCTGCCTGATTGATAGAAACAATTTTCCCAAAAATGACATAATCTGTCATAATTTACTCATCTTCAAGTAGTTCCAAACCTGTATACCTTTTTTTTTTTTCTTTGGAAATGTCAGTATTTCCCCCCCTCTATACATTGGAAGTCAGTGTGCACCTAAACTAGATTGGTGGATAAACCAAAGAGTTAACAGTTTTATTAAATTTATATTTTCAAAGAAATTATAAAGATAATTTTTACAGGAATTTTATTAATCTTATTAATTGCATTTTAATATATTTTTGATTTAATATAATTTATTTTTGAACACTTAAAAATGAATGCCATGTCATTGCACCATCTGCCTGATTGATAGAAACAATTTTCCCAAAAATGACATAATCTGTCATAATTTACTCATCTTCAAGTAGTTCCAAACCTGTATACCTTTTTTTTTTCTTTGGAAATGTCAGTATTTCCCCCCCCCCTCTATACATTGGAAGTCAGTGTGCACCTAAACTAAATAGTTAACATAATTCTTCAAAATATCTTTTGCGTTCTGCAGAAGAAATGAAGTCGTACAGGTTTGGATTGACATGAGCGTGAGTAAATGACAGTATTTTCATTTTCGAGTGAACTTTGCCTTTAGCTACTGTAGCTTCTACCAGCTGACAGGTGAATTTGTCCCTCTGGTATTAACCAGGACGCATGGGACCCTTTGCATTGTGTTTATGTTTTTCAGGAGCTCTGAATTTTAATCAATAGTTCCCAGAGGGCTGCTGAAGTCACGGGAAGGAGAGGATTATGAATGTCACCATGAGTCACCGAGCTGATAGACAGGGGAAAAAACAATTGCGTGGACGTCCGCAAACGTAGTGGAGTGTTTAATGTGTTAATGGCTTGTATGTGCGTGTGCGCGCATCCTTCAGTGTGTTTAATGTGTTAATGGCCGCCGGTTAACCGTCCGTAGCTTGGACAGTGAGTCATTTCCACTTGGCGCTGAGCCCAGCTGCAGCAGGTGGCATTGCCACTCCTCACAAACTAAACGGTATTCACCTTTCAACAAAACACTGCTTCATTTCTACTCGATTCAGCGCTCTCTGTGAAGTTTATTTATTCTATTAAATCCATCTGGGAAAGAAAACGCTTGCTTAGCCTCATAAGACTATGTATTGTTAGATATTTCTCAAAGGCTGTTCTTGATTGATGATGAAAGAAATCTTTGACGTTCAATGTGTTCTCATAGTCCATCAGAGGATTGACAGATCATGGTCAGGTCTCCAAAAATTCGTAAACTTCTGGATTAAATGTATTAAACGATGAAGTAGTCTTAGATGTGACAATCATTGTTATCCACTGGGCTCCATGTGATGTTGATGCCAAACATTTCTGATAGAGCTTTATGAGAGCTAAGTAATCTAGAATCTCTCTTTTTCTCTTGTGCTTATGACTCTTGACTTTTTTTTTTTAGGTCATCAAGTTTACTAACCAGCTTGGGCAGTAATAACCCAGATGCTTTTAATTTTGTACATACTGATCACTGAAATAACTTTCACTATCTTATGTAGCACATCTTTCATGCTTCATGCTCATTTTAATATGTAAATGCATCATCCCATTTGGACGAGCTTCATACATAATTACGGATTCGAAAAAAACATCTGATGCGAACCCTTCATATGGCAGCTTAGCTAAAATAAAACTTTGCTTTGCTGTCAAGATTGGGAATTCAATTGAATGTGTAAGATATGGTGCACTTATTCCCTATAACAATCTTTAAAGTTGATTTCTGTGTGTGTATGAATCAGCGTGGGAATGATGCTCCCATCATAAATGTCAGTGACTTTTTTCTTATCTCATATAATTATCTACACGTCCTCACCATTGACGTCATGTTAGATTAACACAAAACTGTTAGGACAGTCCCTCATATGCAGTTTCTAATTCTCTGTCTGTTGCTGACTCATTCTCTCTTTCTCTTTTCTAGGCCATTCACAAAGTCATTGTCGCTCAGACCCAGCACACAAAACTGGAGTTTCTTCACATGATGCGACTGAACAATCATTTCCTGTTTCGCTTTCTCATGTAATTTATACCCACATCATTGCTAAGAAAAGATTCAGAAGGAAGCAAACAGACCGGAATATCCCTCCCTCATATTTCCACTGGAGGCTGCACTAGGTCCGTTGA